CCATTGTGTATATGTACCACATCTTCTTTATCCATTCATCTACTGATGGACACTTAGGTTGCTTCCATTTCTTGGCTATTGTAAATAGTGCTGCGATAAACATAGGGGTGCATCTGTCTTTTTCAAACTGGGCTGCTGCATTCTTAGGGTAAATTCCTAGAAGTGGAATTTCTGGGTCAAATGGTAAGTCTATTTTGAGCATTTTGAGGAACCTCCATACTGCTTTCCACAATGGTTGAACTAATTTACATTCCCACCAGCAGTGTAGGGGGGTTCCCCGGGTCACTTATTTTTTATTATTCATGCACACTCTGGGGCCCCACCCCAGAGTCTATGCTTGGTAAACACAAATGTAGCTATACAAAATTTTGATGGCTTGAATTTTCCATGGGAGTTTTTGAAAAGGGTTGAGACAGTAGGCATCACAGGAAGAGAAGACTGGGGGCCTATAAAGACAAACTGCTCCTTTCACTTTTTAGTCAAATAAACAGGGAGAGACCCAAGTGGATGATGAACCCTAGTAAAGAACCCTGTGAAGGGCTCATCAGTCAAGGTGATGAGCCAGGTAGAGAATTCTTCTGGGCACCAGCTGCATGCAGCAGAGAAAAGAAATAACCCTTATAAATGATCAGGGCCTTGGCCTACTCACTTGGACTTGGCATCTTTTTGCATTGGAGGGTCAGCTTTGTCCAGAAGCCTAACATTGGCTATGTGTTTGTGTACGATGGTGAATGTGACTCAGAACATGTGCTTGGCCATGTCAGGCCAATACACAGAACTACTGCTCCTTGATGGTGTGACCTGGGGCAAGTTCTTCATTTCTCTGTGCTGCTGTTTTCTTGTTTTTAAGATGGGTCCATGACTGATTACCTCGTAGGATCATTATAATAACTGAGATGATGTATATGAGTCAGAGTGGTGCCTGGCACATAGGTACATAACCAGGGAGATCAGTTACTCTTACCTGTGAGCGCCAGGCTGTTATTCTGTATTTCCGGGTCTAATGCAGGTCCTGGCTCAGTAAATGTTGAACTATTGGATAAGGGACAAAGGGCTAACTTTCAAAACCCAGGTAAAGTCATCCGTCAGACACCACAATCCATAATTAACTTCAATGCATACTAATCCCTAGCAGAATTAGATCCAATATTTAGGAAAATAATTCCAGACCATATACCATGAATGCTTCTTTAGGAGAGAAAGGATAATAAAGCCCTGCTGCTGTGAGATGTTGTAGGTTTAAGATCCAACCCACTCCACATAAGCAGGGGCTATAACCAAGCCCTTAGCAAATGCTGAAGCTCATGCAGCTCAGCCAGGACGGACATAGCAGGTTCTCACGAAGTCCTTGCTGCCATGGCCTTTCTGCATTAGTGTCCATTACGCTGTCATTAGGAAGCCAGTGTATGACTGATGAGACCTACTGGGGTCCTTTGCGCCCAAGAAGTGACTGAAAGGTGGAGTGTCTCCTTTCCTTTGCCACTTACCAGTTATGTGGCTTTGGCTGTGTTATCGATCACCCCTCTGAGCCTCAGCTTCTAACTGTTGAACAGCGTTAATCACTCAATCCCAGGATCCCAGACAATGCCTGATCCCCACTAGGTGCTCATTTCTATCTGCATTTTCACTCCCTTTCTCACTGGGTTTGCTCCCCCAGATTCCTCTCTCCCAGTCCTGTTATGCTAGACAGAAAGTCAACATCCTTTACAGCCCAGTCCAAGGATTAAGATCTTTGCCTCAGAGCCCAGGAACCAGACGTTTTATGGCCGACTCCTATTCTCTGACATAATAATGGAGAAAGGAAGAAAGACAACAGTATATGGGGTTTTTTTTTTTTTTTATTTAGACGTGGAATTTTCCTTCCTTTTCATATAACTTATCTAATTAAAATATTCATCTTGGTAGTTACCACAAAAAAGTAACATAGAAAATTGTATTTACATTTTGGGACCAAAATACAAGTGAAGAGCAGGATGACACCTTGCTCCTTTCCCTCCCGCTTCCCAGAACGAGAAAGCCCCAACGAATCCGCTCATTACACCAAGGACCACAAAGGGTTAATTTGCAATTTGGTGATTTGTGTGTAGTGTAGCACAGAAAAAAATTGCACGTTTTCACACGAGACCTAAGGTTGACCATCACCCTGTGTCTGCTCTGCAGCCATTTTAATAACCCAGGTGAGGAGGTTGTTTCAAAATTCAGTTTTTCCTATTCCCCTCCTTACTCTTCTCATCAAGTCACATCCCTGATGCAGATACTCTTGGAGGGGGAAGAGGGGAAGATCTGGCTCTATGCACACAGGGGTGATCAAACATCTTTTTGTGCCAAAAATGAGTGATGTCAGCATGAATATGTGTCCTTTGTTCCCTCCCTGCCTAAAGACTCCTAATAAAGGAAATTAAATCATACACAACTGAGTCTGAAATACGAAAAACTTGTTTCAATGACAAAGACTTGAACACACAGCTAAGAGACCAATCCAAGGTGGTGAGCACCTAGAGGAAGCCATTCTAGGCAACAGATGTCTGGCACCTGACTCGGTGTTCATTTGGTTTTAGGTAAGGAACTTCCTGATAAAGGATTTGGGGAGCAAGTTAGGGGATGGGTGGAATGGTAACACAAATGATCAAGAGAAATCAAGCTTTATGTAATTCAAAATACAGCAGGAGAAAAACACAGCAACATGTGTGTCCTGACACATCAGGCACCCTGCATAGCAACACACACTGAACGACGGGCTTCTGCTACACAGATTTCCTGTGTTGCTCTGGAATCTTTAAAGTTGGCCTAATTGGGGTCTCCAGGATGGTTAGAAACAGGGGGCTTCATCTCCTAGGGTTTTGAATGAGCTTGCTGAGGGGACTGCCGAGCCCCCAAGGCTGCCACAGTACCCACACCCTCAGTCTACTCGTCATGTTTAAGGATGGGCACCTCAAATGTAGAGCATCTCCATCCATCTGGGTCACAGCCAGGGAGGTTTCTACCAGATCAGCGCTTTTCAACAGCCAAGAGGGGTGATAACAGTGTCCTTCTAGATCTGGCCCTGCTCCTACACCAACTCAAAAGTGAGGCTCTCCCTCCCTCCCAAACCTCATGCATGCCCTCCCGGTTCTCTCCAATCCTGACACTACAGCTCAGACACTTGCCTTAAGTTGGCCCTTCCCTCCAAATTCTGGCTCACTCAATAGTAGAGAGAGCTTCCGCTGCAAAGTTCTCTACAAAACATAACACATTGTTGTGCTCTTCCAATTACATGATCTTACCTTTTAAAGACAGGCAAAAATAAAACCGATTTCCAACATAGCATTGCAACTTTTAAAACCATTCACTTCTAGTAGCAATTCATAGGGAACAGGAGATTAAAGTGCTGGCTTTTAAAATTCTACAGTTGTATTTGGAGGCTACAAAAAGCCCTGCCATGTATTTGTGTTTTTTCCCCCCTGCTGGTGGGGAGAAGGAAAAATGGGGGAGGAAAAACCCCTGAAGTTTTTATCAGAAACTGGAAATTATAAAAATGCTGGGCATCTGTGCAAATTCATCTCCCAAAGTTCTGTGTCCTCTCGTGAGCCTCAAAAAAGTGGGAACTGGCAAAAAGGATGGGGGAAAGATGCTAGACCTTTACAAATAACCTTCCTCAATAAATACTATTTAATGAGTAAGAAAGAGACGCACCTGCAGAGGAACTCAAAGCAACATTGGAAAGGGCCTCGGAGGTGAGCTGAACACCTCTGTCTTCCCATCGAGGCTCCTCTCTAGGATGGGCAGCCCAGGACCCACTCCTCGCCCTATGTGCAGCAGGCACCGCACAGGCTTTGGGGGTGCCCATCCTCCCTCTGGACAGGAGTCCCCTCAGGAGAGCTGACCTGGGGCAGGGGAATGGCTTTCACTAGGCTTTTATCTAACTTTAATAAAGGACTCTGAAAATAAAAGGCTAAGTGTGTGGTAGAGGGCAAAAAAAGAAAAAGAAAAAAAAAACTGGGGGTAATATAAATACAATCTGGGGGCAATATTTATTAATTAAAACTATGTCTTATAGTTTACAAAGACGTTAATTAACAACAAAAGTATATTGACCTTAAAATCCTCAGTGAGACTGAGCTTCACATCTTCTTCAGAATTCTGAAGTGTTCTCAAGCAGGGAGGCAGTGGCTGCGGCACACAGGCTCACAGGTGCAAGCCACACCTGCAAACGGGGCAGGACTCGGAGACCAAAAGGCCCCGGCCTCCTTCGGAAGCTCCATTCCCCAACCCCCAGTGTCCCTGCTTTCCTCCCCTCAAATTTCATCTCCAAGGCCAGGCCTCAGTTTATCGTCGGGAGAATCTGTTCTTGAAAGCTTTAATCGTCTTGGCCATCATTGGGGCAATTTCTGTGAAAAGAGAAATAAGAGAGTGGTTTCAGATGTGTGCCGTTCAGACACATCCCACTAAACCTCACTACTCTCGGCTCTGCATGACCAAATGGATCCGAGCAGGAGCTATCTGCTCCTCCCCCATAAAAGCAGCAACCTCCTGAGCACCTGCCGGGTGCTCAATCTCTAACAGCCCCACCAAGACACACAGAGCCTGGGCAACTTGACCTCGGTTGTACAGTAATGGCAGAACTGGAATTCAATCCTCGCCTGACTCTATAGGCCATTCTGAGCCATCATTTAGCTCTACCTCACCAATATCCAAACCAGTGAAAAGCACCCCCTTTGAGCCCCCATCTGTCTAGTGTAGCAACAAGTCTAAGATGACCTCAGTGCGCCCACCACCTAAAGAGGCCTAGCTTGCCCTCTCAGCTGGTTAACATGAGCACAGCCAAAGCTCAAGCCAGGACTCCCACACCCTCCCGTGGGCCCTGAAGTGAATACAGAATAATGCTTTTCTTAAGTTGGGATACCACCTTGTAATAGTGGGGATAGTCTATGATAATAAAGCTAATAAAATACGAAATAGACCCAACTAGATACAAAAAAGTAAGTACTTGGAAGCTGCAGTTATAAGGTTATAAAACCTCAATAAGATGTGCTGCCATTTAGTTATTAATAGTTATGAATCCCATGTTATTTCCTGGAGAAAAAGGTTTACATTTAAGTAAAAAAAAAAATGCAGAGTGCCAAAATGAATGTTCACTATAATCGTGGTGATGACATTAAAGGCCTCGCAATACTAGCTGTGAACTTTCTTAGCAGGAACCCCAAGTTACATACTCTTCACAGTCGGTTTCCTAGGGTCATAGGAAACAGTGCTGCTGACCACCGGTGCCAGGTGGGCACTGCTGGTGCTCGGGCCGTCGTAGGCCAGGTCCTCATGGCTGGCGTTAAAGCTGTTGCTACCACCACTGGAGGGGGCATGGCTGCTTCCTATGGGGTAGGGGGCGGGTTTAATCCTGGAACACAGATGGGATGGAACTGGTTAGTCATGAGCCCCGGCAACCTGCCTTCGGCACCAACAGCCCAAAGCTGGCATGCTTTGAGGGAGACTCGGGTTTGTGGTTTTGACCAGCAGACCCTAGTACCCATTCTGTGGATGGCTCAGAGGTGATGGCGTTAGCCCTTCAGAATGAATGATAATCTCCTTCAGAGTGAATGAAAATCTCAACTAATTTTTCACCATTTAGGTGTAAATCTGTATTTTGAAAATGCTAATGTGAATTAGATTAAATATTTTAGTCCCGACAGTAACATGTTTTGTTTAAATGAGTGAAGGGAAAGCATAAGGGAATGCCTCCTAGAAGCTAGTCCCTGCTCTCCATTTAACTTTAGCCTCTGAGAGGCAGAAACAATGATCTGGTCCACGCTGAGGTCAAGGAAGCTGGGACCCAGGGAGATCTCGTGCAGAGCTGCTCACAGTCGGCTTCCAGAGCCCACTCTGCCTGGCTGGGCTCTCATCCCAAAAAGGCCTTACTTCCTGCCCCTAGGCTGCCTCTTGAGGCTGAACAGCAGGCTCTTGGGGCTCTTGGTCCGGAGCATGCACAAAATTACAGAGGAGCAGAGAGCAGAGATCTTACTTGATTTTCTCAGGCACAGCTGCTCCTCCTGTTCCAAACTTCTCCTGCCTCCTTCGAACATCACGAGGCGGCTTGGCTACAGAGTTGACAAAGGCCATCTTTGCTTGTCGGCCTGTGAAAAAATATGGTGATGAACACCTGCCTCTCTGGACAGAGATGCTACTATTATTTTCATAATCTACACTATTAGGAGATAAAAGCTTTTCAAATACCCCCAGTTAGGGAATTATTAACCCTGAAAACCCCTCTGTAGGGCAGCAAGGAAAATGGCAGAAAAAACACGTCATCCCTACCCTGCTTCTGTAAATGCAAGGGGGCTCTCAGGGCCAGAGGCTTCATCAGCCAGGCCCACTACAGCCCTGCTGTCAACCAGAGCACAGGGCTCACCAAGTTGCCAGGAAGCCCCAGCCTGCCGGTTCTTCTCCTGCCTGCTCACCTTTGGGCTTATTGGCGTGTGCCGATCTGATATTCTTTGTCAGGACTCGTAGCCGCTGTTCCCGGGCATCCTGAAGCCGCAGGTACATCTCCCGCCACGACTCATACTCTTCTGGCCTTTCTTCCTTAAAGTCTCGGTGACAATGAACTTTCCATAATTGATCTGTTTCTTCAATTAATACCTAAAATCAGAACCAGGACATCATTTATATTCAAGCACTCTAACAAATCTCTTTTCCACCCTTAATCACCTAAGGGTGACCAGTTTCCTAATGATTTTTGGTCCTCCATAGCACTAGTATATTAAAACATCATGGTTCTAAAAAAAAAAAATCAAATCAATAATTTAAAAATTGTTAAGTGTGAGGCATTGTAGTAGCTGCTTTTGGGGAACTGGGGGGGCTACAAGAGAAGACAACACAAAAATTAGTTTTAAGATCAGTCTTTTCCTTTAGAAAAATCAGTGAAAGGAGAACTGGGATGAAGTCAAATCCAGGTGTTTGCCAGCACACACGGAGCTGAAATGGCAAGGGGGCCACCTAAGAAGAATGCTGCTGTCGATCCTCCAGAATCAGAGACAGCTAATGCCATCAAACCAGTACGTCCCAGCATGAGGAGAAGGATTTAGGACAGATCCCGATGTCTCTAAGAGACACCCAGACAATCTGTGCTCTTTCATAATCACCACACACCTGAGTGTGAACACAAAGCTCTGCCCCCACCATGGATCCCTGGAGCTGTGCTGCCAGAATTCTCCCTTGACCTCTGTAACAAGGCAAGGTCAAAGGATATGTGGCAAGTGTTTTTTGCTCCCTTTAAATCCCACCTTGATTTGATGCCAGAAGCAGGTGCTAAAAATATGCTTGTTTAAAGGCCTATAGACAAACCAAACGTGCTCAGAATGGTGATCTGACCACTGCTGCCTGCCCTTCAGCTGTGGCCGATTCACAAAGACAAAGCCATTCCTAAAAACCCAAGCCAGAAAACCACCCTCTTCCCACCCAAACAGGATGCTCACATGATTGTATTCCTCTATGCGATATAGCTGATCAGGTGTACACCTCTCCAAAACAGGTTCCAGAACAGAATATGGGACACCTCCCACTTCAAAGATTGCTGCAGAGAATCAAAGGTGAAAAGTGTTGAGCAGCAGCCAAGCCACCCAGCGGTCAGGTCCCAGTGCCACAAAGTGCTTGAAAGCAAGAGAGAAGCATGTGACTTACAGTCAATGTTGTTTTTAAGTACCCGGATGCACTGCTGGTGCAAGGTCATCATTTTAGGGAGATAGGCACACTTGGAACCAGAATACACTTGCATCTTAGAGTTCATCCTTCGTCCAGTGAATCCAGCTTCTTCCTCTTCCTGGGGTGAAGAGAGTGCTACAGGGCCAGAAAGCCAGAGCTGTGAGTTACAAAAGGCACCATGCCACTCAATGAAAGCTCTCCTTCCCAGCCTGTTCCTCGGCCTCCAGCTCCCTTTCTCAAAGCAACCAACGCTACCCGTTTCTTCTGTATCCTTCCACACAATCTATGCAAAAATAAGCACACAAGTATTTTATTCCTTTTTAACCAATAACACATTACTAGTTTTTTCCATTTGCCTTATTTTAGAAATTATTCCACATCAATACATCTCACATTTTTTTGCAACTGCTCAGGATGCCACCGTGTGGATGAACCTTGATTTATCTGTTAGTCTCTTGCTTGAGGGACACTCATGTGGATCCTAATTCTTTAGCTGTTAAAATGGCTTCTTTTAAAAACAAAAAGTTCATGTAGAACAAATAGAATAAAGGGCAGCTAGTAACAGCAGCAGCTAAGATTTACTGAACACTTACTATGTGGGAAAACCCAGAGCTAAGAGCTTTACCAGCATGATCACCTTTAATCTACACAACAGCCCTGTGAGGCACATACCATTATTATTCCCGTTTTTAGAATATGAAACTCAACTCCAAAGAAATTAAGTTATTACCCAAGTTCATATAACTTGGAAAAGCCAGAACTGGGATTCACACCCAAGCCATCAAACTGCAGAGCCTGTGTGATTAAGAAAGGTACAAACACCTGCCATCAGATCATGAATGAATTTTTAAAATCTTTTTCCCAGTGAAAGAAAAGATACAGAAAATTACCTTTCCGCTTTGGTTGGAAGGAGGATATCAATTCAAGGGAAGGAAGTGGACGGTAATTGGCCTGTATCATGGGTAAAGGGAGGTCCGGCAATGCTGGCAGTGCATCGATGGGGACCTGCGGAGAGAAGACCAGTAACTGCCTGACAGCCCCTTCCTACAAGCACCAGTTCTTCCCTGCAGCCCAGATCCAGGCTGGAGGAGGGGAGGCAGTCATGCGCGATACCACCTAGTCAGGAAAAACACAGGGATGGGCCCAGCATAAAGGGACACCTCAGAAAATACTTAACTTGGGTACTACCGACCCTGGCAGCTAGAGAGGCCCAGAGGAAATTACTTCAAACTCAAATTCAACAGGCCACAGAGAAGGCAGCCATACAAAACAGTGGCAGGGTAGGCCCAGGGAGCTTCAGAGGGCTAGGTGCTCCGAATGGAAGCCACCCAAGGGCTGACGGTTACCTTTTTCAGCTTGGCTGAATTGGATCCAGGAGGCTGAAGTGTCTCTGACTTGGTTTCATTCACCTTAGGTAATTTCTGAGCTGAGTCCAAGTTTTTACTACTGCTTTTCGAATCATTTTTTTTAAGTCCTTTCCCTCCAAGAGCTGTGTTTGAAGTTTTCACGATTTTCTTCTTTTTCTTCCGGGGCTGGTCGTAGCTGAGGTATGACTCAAAAGACATGGTAGGCTGTTCGAATTCATCATCCATATCTGCCTCCTCAGCTTTAGGAAGGGAGCCTGCTGACTTTCTATCCAAATGAGAAGTTTTCCCCTTTCCTTCCTGAGTCTTCAGGTTGTTGGAAACCTTCTCTTTTCCCTTGGGCAGCTGGCCCCCTGCCCCCTTCCCTGTGTGCAGGCTGTCCGGGCCTGGCCTGTGTCTGTCGGACTTGGTTTTCTCTGAGTCTTCGTGCTTTGGCTTTTTCAGGTGGTTGTCTGAAGCAGGCTCCGAGGGGGGTAAATACTTCTTCTTGGTGCTGCTGTCTTTCTCCTTCTCCTTCTTGACACCGCTGGAGGACAGCTTCTCCTTGGTGCTCGCCCCTGAGAGTGGCTTTCGGTTTTCCTCTTTGGAGATGGCTTTGTGTGACTTCTCTCGGCTCAAACACGACCGCTCATCTCCTCTGGTATCCACTGGACGTTTTTCCCTATGAGAGGATCTGTGCTCCTTGTTCTGACTCACAACCCCTTTCCCTGGGGGTTCCTCGAGGTGTCGTTCCTGACTGACCCCCAGCCTGTCCTGAAAGGCATTACTGTGGCCTTTTCCAGGCTTCTGGTGTGCAACAAAGGGCTCATGATCTTCCTCTGGGGATCTGTAATGGTCCATGGACATCTGATGAGGACTGGCAGAAGATCGGGGGGACTGAACATGGCCATAATCAGAAGATTCATGGTCTGAAGAGTAAACTGGTGAGCCTCTGTGGCACCTCCTTCTCTCGTCTCTCCTCTCCTGACCGTGCGACACTTTGTGAGGTCTCTCGAGCTCTGAGAGCTTCCTGTGTTTCTGTCTGTGATCAGGACTATATGACTGGCTGCTGGAGGCTCTCCAGTGTTCCTGGTAGTCCCCCTCCACCTCCTCCTCTCTCTGAACAGCATCCCTGGGGCGCTTTTGGGAATTGCTCTTCTCAAAGTCCTGCTCATCAGGCTCCGTGTTTCTAAAATTGAAAAAAAAAAAAAAAGAGGTAGATAAAGCAGATATAAATCTCAATGTAATCCTTGTTCAGAGGACAAAGTTACAGAACCTGAACTCACAAGGTCTTGGGAAGAAGGTAAATGGGCTCTGCTCAAAGATTCTCAACTAAGTTTTAAAATAGGGAAAAATCAAAAATTTAATAAATGGAAAATGATGAGCTTAACTACAGGATAAAAAGAATATCATATATCTGTGGACATGAAAATACTTAAACAAATTTCAACACAGGGACATATTTAACTTGTCACATAACAAAAGGGGTTGCTATTTATATAGTTTGTTCACAGCTATGCAAAAAATGCCTTTTAAGAAGTACGTAGGAAGAAACATACCAAAATGTTAATAATGCTTATCTCTGGATGGCAGAATTATAAGAAATTTTGATTTTTACTTCTATTTTTAAATATTTTCTGATATTCTATAACAATAATGAATTATTCTTATAACAGATGCAAAATAAATATTTTAAATAAGAAGGCAGAGAAGGAATAATAAACAAAAACATTTCAGCCTGTAAACACTCCAAGTACCAGATTTAACAGAGAAGCTGAACAAACCTACTAGTAATGTTCTTACCGCTCCACAGGAACCAGCTTCTTCCACTGGGCCACCAAGTCCCTGGCAAAGCTTCCAACGTGCTCATGTTTTCTCAAGCTATTTACCGTCTTCCCAACCCCAGTCTCCTACAAATTTAACAAAGAAATTGTTAGAAGGTTGTGGACCTAGGATCACCAATCAATACTCCCTCCTAAAACATACCTTGCAAGTCTCAGTACAAAAGTACTTGGTGCCTGTGGCCCAAATTGCTAATGACAGTAGCAAAGCACACCAGATTAAGATGGAAACACTGAACTAAAACATTTCTAGACTTAAATAATAAAAACAGGAGTGATTTTGGCTAGTGTCAGGCACTGAGCTAAGACTTTTGTATATAATATCTGAATCAATCCTTACAACAACTCTGAGAGGCAGGAATCTGCCCCATTTTACAAAGAAGGAATAGCCTAAAGCTACAGAATTTGGATTTGAATCTAGAACTAGTTGATGCTAAAGCCAATATTTTAATTTTTTTGAGATAAAATTCATCATTTTAACCATTTTAAAGTGTATAGTTCAGTGGTTTCCAAGACACTCAATACTGTGCAACCATTGCCACTAATTCCAGAACATTTCCATAAACCTAAAAAGAAGCCCTGTTCCTCCCAATTCCCCTCATGGATGGGTGACCACTAGTCTACTGTCTGTTTATGGATTTGCCTATTCTGGACATTTCCTATAAATAGAACCATACAATATGTGATCTTGTATCTGGTTTCTTTCACTTCCAAAGTCCATGCTCTTAATCTTCTTGTACAATCTCTCCCAGTGGAGATGGGATATAGTTATATAATATATAAAGTTACACAGTTCTTACCGCAAGAATGTCTACTGTAATAGGCAAAGTGGAGAGTTTCTTCAAATTTTTCAATAGCTGCAGAGAGAATACAATAAACATTAATTTCTATAAAATCATCCTCATTCACTGGAATAAATAAGAATATCTGATGGTCACGTACTTACTCACTTCTAAGCATTATACAGTAATAAGACGGTCAAAGGGATTTTACAAGAGTGAAAACAGGCTCAGAAAAGTTACTTGCCCCAGGATGCAAGTAGGGCAGGACTCATTCAGGTCTGTGGGTTTGGATTCCATGCTTTTAACCATTATGCTACACCAAGAGGAACTGAGACTTGGAGAAGAAAATCAAACATACCAACTCTAATAAAGGCCATCAGCTACTATCACTTGCCCCAGTTTTCAGAAAGAATTTCTGAGAAAGGTACCAATTTTAGGAAAATTACCCACAGACTCAGAGGAAAGTAAAAAGGAGAAGAGGTCATCATGGGCAGCATGTTTCCAAGAAGAGTCATGGTGTTTAATAGAATTGTTTTTTTCATATAAGTGGGAAGCCAAGACCAATTTCAAGTTGTCAGCATCAGAGCTTTGCCATAACAAATGGTGAACACAAAACGTTTGGGTAGGTAAGGAAAGTGATCTGGGTTTGGCCACATTTCCTTTCTGGAGTCCCTAAAAGTAGGTCAAAATTAGGATAGCAAAACTGTTAAGACAGAGTCCCAGAGTTAGAGACAAGCTTCAGCTTGGCTCTGTCACCTCCTTGCCTGGTGATCGTGTGCAAGTTGGTAGCCTCTCCAAACCTTAGTTACTTCATCTGTAAAAGAAGAACTGGATCCTGTCTCTGCTTCACCTTCTGGGAGGATTTGCTGAGACAAACCATGTGCAGTCCTTAGCAAGAGGGCCTGTCACACTAGAAAAGCTCAATAAAGGGTAATTATTAATCATTTCACTCATCAACCAACAGCTCTTTAAATGTCTACCCTTAATCCTCAACCAGATATTCCCCAGCCAATTCCTAATTGCAACATTTTTACCTAGCCATAACTGGCTATGCCTTTCTCTAGGAAATGTTTCTGTGTGGATAAATGCACCACTGGAGGAGTGCTGTAAAGTAGTTCAAAACAGATCACTGTGACCATCTTTACATTTAACTATTAGACAATCAGATCTGTCTTTTTCACGTGTAGCCAGGCTATAACTAGTACGCCACACTATTGTTAGGTGGAGCAGGAAGGTATGTTTTTCTGGTCATTCTACTTCCATAATTATTGAACATCATCACTAGACACAGCAATTGGATCCTAAGTGAAAATCTTGTTTGGGAACAAACAGGAAACCAAGTGGTGTATCTAGGGAATTTCACCATCATAGCTGAGTGAAAATTATGCTCCACTTCATCACCATCATCCACTCAAGAAAAAGTTTATGTGTATTTCTTGTCACCCAAACTATGGGTGCAAAGACTGCCAATTCCTTTGTCTTCCTGGAAGGCAATTAGACACCATCTACTGTGTGTCAGTTACTATGTTAAATTCCTACATGAATCACCTCATTTCATCCTCAATGAACAACTCGGTAAAATGGGTATTGTTCTCCCCATTTTATAGATAATGAAATCAAGCCCAGAAAGGTTAGGTAACTTGCCTGAAGAGCTAGTCAGTCAAAGTGTCTACCACAGCACATAAACAAAGCCAGGAGAAACATACACCACAGTAATAACTGTCCTTAGAAAATAGCAAAAGAAGACAGAACAGTAATTCACATGCTTCTTAGATTTCCAAAAAAAGGCAGAACAGTTCCTCCATCACTATCATGTTGTTAGACAGTTTAGAGTCCACAGAATAAAAGGTCACCATGGAGACAGACTGCCAGGACCTCTACAAAGCCAGCATCTAAGGATGGGGCCAGAAGTCACGGAGGGTGTGCTCATCTCAAAGCGAGCACTAACTGGAAGGGTGAACGCTGCCCCTTCTGCTTTGCTTTGGGTTAGCAGGGACAGCTTAAAAGCAGACAAAACTAAAACCCTGGAGATTTTCAAACTGATGCAGCTCAATATAAGAGAAAAAGGGCTTTGGAGCCCTTCTATTTTCACTGAGGTTCAAGAAAGAGCAAAGTAGTAACAAGGTAAATGCACTCTGGGCATCCTCAGGTAGAAGAAACTTGCTGTTATCAAACCAAGGGACCAATTGTAGAGTTTGCAAGAACTGATAACAGGTCATTGAGAAATGTCAAACATTTGCATAATACACGCTTAGGAATCTCAGTTGTCCTCTGCACACTCCTTTAACCCAACGGGCAAAAGACGTTCATAATGTTGACCCTTTGTTCTCTACTTGCCATCCAACTGTGTTCTTGGTAGTTTTCACATTCAAAATGTAACACAGGACAGGTAGAATTACCAGCCATGAAAACTGTTCCCAGTTAAACAGTAGGAACCAAGTGACCTCGTCTGCCTGATACTTTCCCCCAAGTAAGCCTAGGTAATAGATGGACTTACGTGAAAACAAAGTTACAGTTGAACACCAATGTTTAACAACAGAAGATCCATGAACATAGGTGTGGAATCAACCGTTTGACTAATGATGGCTTGACATCAAGAACGTTGCAAATTCAACACTGCTATATAAGCATCTTGCAATTTCAGGAACAACCTGTGGGAGCTTGTCAGGTTAACAGAAGGTTAAAAAGGCTGGTGTGCCAGCTTGCAGTTTTCCCTCTGCAGTTGGATCGTTTCTGAATGCCAACTATTGTGCCCTTTGCAAAAATGATCTCCCAACATTTTCTCATCTTCATAAAGGGTGATTTTCTGTCTGGGAAGAGAAAGCCCAAATACTCACAATAATCACTAATAGTTCAAGCAGGATGAAAAACCAACCAAATCTTTTCCTAACTTGAAATGTCATGCACATCAACTACTAGAAATGCTACTTCAAAATTTAAACTCCCCTGGAAAAATGACTATAGCTACTATATGGAACACTTTTTAACCTGAAAGAAATAAAGGCCAAATTGGGAGGGACAGGGAGGTTACACAATATTGCTCTAAGGTTTTAAAAATTGGTCACAAACCTACAGTGTTTAGGAAAACAAACTAGTACCCGGAAATAATGACCACTTATTAGATGTTCACAAAGGGTTATTGTGAAAAGAAACTTGTAATATGCCTGGCTACTAGGTACTAAAGCCACAATAGAAAATAGAACATAAAACAACTGGAAGCATTTAAGTTTTTACAGATTTAAAACTAAAATGGCTTCCTGAAGAACTGGTCTCTGAGCTAGGGATGCATGAAAAGAGTTAAGAAGTGGCCTGGTGGTGAGATGCTGTGTGCAGCAGCCTTTAGAGATGCAGAAAGAACTTCCCGTTAGACTGGAAGCAAGGTGAAGAGAAGGCAACTTTCAAGAAAAAGTGAAGAGTTGCCAATAATATCTAGTGAACGCTTCGTATGAGCCTGGCGTTTCCGCTGTTAGTTTAGTCCTGGGAAGAAGTAGGGGAGGAAAGAGGTTCGGCAAAGAATGTCCCCAACGTCCAGGCTGGTAAATGGATTAGAACACACATCTCGCCACCACTTTATCTAGACTTCCTCCCTCGATTACTTCCTCTTCAAAAGGTACTCTGGGGCAGAGGTCCAACCCAGGGACTGTACACTCGGGCTACAGTGCTGACGGAGAATGTCAAACACCTTAAGCGCTTTCATCAGTTTATTTCTATTTTTAAAAATTCTGACATCCATCAGACACTCTCTGACACCGGAAGCCGGATAACAGAAAGTCGGACAGGGAAAAGAAGGCGTTTAACTTAAGAAAACAGTTTAAAACAAAACTAGGTGAGTTCAATTAAAAATGGTTGCCCATCCCTTGCTGCCAGGAGATACGATAGCTCTTACCTTTCTATAAAGCCCAGAAGGAAAGCTAAAAGCTGCAACTTCTATAACCTTTTCTTCTGACTGCAGCCAAGTTTTTAGGCGTACCTACAGCCAGGTGACATAAGATCCATTTTGTTTGGTTCTGAAAGGGATTTACTAAGATACAGAAAAGGTCCACGTTCTCATATTAAACCGGAAAGCAATAAAAACGTCTCTTAGAGGCGCGGGACCACACAAGGAGCCCAGACTCCACCGAGCACGGGCAGAACCGGCTCCTTCTCCACCCAACAATCATCCAGACACTGGGAAACACTTTGCATGGAGAGGGCGCAGAGGGAGTGAACTCCGGGCGAGCTCCCGACGGGAGACAGCTGGCCCGGGACCGCGGGGAGCGGCTCCAGGGCGGCACGACGTGTGGTGTCCACGGCCTGGCCCGGCCCGGCCGGGGGGCAGGAAGGCAAGGAGGCCGGAGGCCGGGCCCGCCGAGCCCGCCTCCCGGCGTGCGGACCTGGCCGCACGGGCAGCGGCGATGGCCGCGAACTTCCCGACCCCAGACGCGAGCTCGGCGGGGCCTGGCCTCGGGTCCGAGCGCCCACGGCCCCGGCGGTCGGGATGGGCCGCAGCCTGGCCCGCGACCGTTACGGGGCCGCCCCGCGCCCAACGCCCGCCCCGCTCCGCGCTGCGAGCCCGCTCACCTTCTTCGGGTCCGGGTTCGCGGCCAGGCGCGCCTGCAGCTTCTCCACGACTTGGAGCGCCGACTCCGCCGCCATCGCTGTCACTGGCGCGGCCTCCTCGCCGGAACTGGGCTCGCGTCGCGTTCTCGGGCCGCAGCTCCGCCCTCCGTGCAGCCCCGGCGGAGACGGAAGCGACTGGCCCCTTCCGGCCCTCCGCGCGCGGGCCCGAAGCCGGGCAGGAGGATGAGGCCGCAGCCCCGCGCCCGGCCTTGCGAATATAAACCCCACCGCCCACCCCTGGCGGGGGCCGTGAGCCCCGCCCCGAGTAACACCTGTCGGTGGTTCCTGGGCTGGTCCGCCGCTCGGGACCCAGCAGGGATTAACCCTCGCGACCACCCCAGGTCGGGTGCGCTGGGCGCCAGTGGTTGGGCTGTCTTAATTCCACCCTCAGTACAACCCCTTCAAGCGTGTTATATGAGTCCCATTTTACAGATGAGGAAACAGGCTCAAGGGGACCAAATTAACTTGCATGTAGTCCTATAAACAGGAAAGAGGTGAAGCTCGAATTCCAATCTAAATAGTTTAGGCCCACTGCGAGCGTACATCTCTGAATACGTCAAGGAACTGAGGCCCAGAGGGAGAGAAAGGGATTTGCCAAAAGTCAAACAGTTTAGCTACATGAGGTAATCGCTCGTGCGTCTCACTTTCCCCGAAAACAGTGTCTGGGACATCCACACCAAATAAATACTTCAGTGAATGGATGAATGGTTGTTTCCTCTGAAGCAGTAGGTTCCGAATCAGACCAGTCCAAGATACTATCCTTTAAAGTACTTACCCTCATTCTAGAAGCATTACATTTTACTAGTACTGTTATCATTATTAAAAATAACAACCGAACAGTTGAAAACGGACTTAAAATATCAGTATTAATTACATCTTGCTTGATAAAATCAGATTGGATCATAATCAGATCTCCAGCAGCAACTTGGCAATGTACCTTGGCCTAACTTCCCCCAATGTAGGAAAGCTCAGATACTCTCAGGTCCCAGCTCTGGAGAAACAAAAAGAAACAATATAAACTGTTCCTTCAAATGAGCTTTCACTCACTCACTCTGCTGAACAGGCCTTGCTACTATGTTCCCACCCCTCTGCTTGATGCCCCTCCCTCTGCAACTGACACTTGGCAATTTAATCTTCTGTCTTGCCAGTGGGCTGTTTATTCATCAGGTGCAGTCCAAATTTAAATCTCTGCTACCAGTACAATCCAGTTGACATAATCAGTACTGGATAAAAAGTCCATACAAGACCACCCAGTTGGTGTCCTAAAACTCTACAGTGGGGTGGTAATGGAAGAAGCATTAAGCTGGGCGTGAGGAGCCTGGATTCTAGTCTCGGTCCTGGAGTCTCCTTCATCAGAACAGTAAATGCTTTTACATCTCAAATTCCTTCTGTTTTGAAAATGTAGCATTGGTGTAATGGAAAACAGGCCAATTTCCTGAAGCAGAATTGCTGACTAACTGACCTGGCATATACTTGGGACACATGGAATATTTTGTGCATGTTACCCAGGGAGATCTCAAGAACCAGAATGAAAAGGAATGCTGATGCGGGCTACTGGAGAGGGTGCACCCCACCCCTCTGCCTCATCTAGGTCAGATTGAGTCAGGCTTACCTGCAAAATAAAGAAGTCTTACACTTGAATATATGAATACTCTTGTCATTTAATTATGTATGTGTTATTCTGCTTAAAAAGAAAGTTTTGAACCAGTTCTAAAAATGGTACTCTGTTTAGTTTCGCTGGAGGATTTCCATTGTATGGTTAATCCTTGGTTTACACAAGGGTGCACAACTCCAGAATGGCTCCCCAAGGTCAGAGGCTGTTTGTCCATCTTGGATCAGCAACACCTACCACACAGGTGACAGTCCATGAAGGTTTGTTAAAAACTGAACTAATTATTATTAAAATTGAGGCTAGCCTAGAGTCTGAAAACCTGAAGGGGAGACTCCCTAGCTCTCTTACCAGCACTATAGGGCACCCCCGTGGGAGGAATTAAAAGACTCATCTTATGTTGCTCCGAAGGCATGTTTAAGGCTACAGTGGGGGAGAAAGATGGGTAAGGAGGCTCTCATCTTCCGTGCACACTTTTGAGTTTTTAGCAAGTACAGTCTGTCTTTGTGATGAAGCTAGCTTAAAAGTATGTTAATTTTGGGAAGAAGCAATCCCAGGCTAGCTGGTACTAGAATCATTTAAAACACTGCAAGACAAGTTTAAAAAACAAAAACAAACAAACAGAAAAACCCACAACACCAGCCATCTTGTCCCCAGTAGCAGAAAGGAAGCCTTGCCTTTCACAGAATAGTCAAGTGAGATTCTGCAGGCTGGACAGGGTGCTGAGTGAGGAATCCTGGCAGGTGGAAGGCTTCCCCCTTAGATCTCTCCCGGCCTGGGCTCTGCCACTCCCCTATTTTACCAAGTAGGCAGCACCTGAGGTTGGTTGGATGGTGGGTGTAAGGAACACAGGGTTTGGGCTCAGTGACATCCTGAGCTCCAATCCCCAGTCCTATCAGAACTAACCCTGGCTCCTGGTCAAGTTACTTAACACTGGCTGAAATTGTTTCCTCTTACTTTATAGATTTCTTGTGAGGCTTATTCATATGTTAATATTAAGCAACTGGTATATAACAGGTATTTTTTTAAAGCAGCAATTATTAGGGAAAAATCATTGCCTTGGTAAAGAGAATAGTGTGTTCTGCTGTAAAGGAGATATTAAATCCTCCATCTGGGCAGTTTTGTTCTGCCCAGCTGTGGCCACTGTTCTCTTCCCCAGTTTTTTTCTGAATTGACTACATTCATCTTTGTATCACATCCTTCAAATATGTTCAGTTGGTTATTTACTTAGGGATGGCATCTTTCTTGGTTTCACAGGCTGGATTCACCCTCCTCAAATACAGTAATGCAAATGGAGACTGCCAGCTCCAGGGGTTGGTGTCTGAGATTCAAAAGCCACACCTTTCACAGACTTCCTTGAAGTTGGATTAAAGTTTCCACTAGCAACTTAAGGATATCAGGCCTCAAACTATCTGAGGCCCTATGTCTAAAGAAGGTAGACTGTGGCATCCTATAATGCTCTCAGAGAACAGTCTACTGACAATCTGTATTTACCAGGAAAAGGAGCTACCATAAAAATATAAAGTAACAAGTGTACACTTTGATACTTTTATGCTATGAGTTTATATGAATTGTACCTAGGTAGTAATCTAGCTCTTCATTTTGTTTTATTTTTATTATAACTTTTATCACAATTCAAAATTACCTTATTTAGTGGTTCATATTTTTATAGTCTCTTCCCATTATTTAAGCTCCATGAGACATCATTGCGGCTAAGAGAGTATCTAGAACATAGGAGGCACTCAATAAATATTGACTGAGATCCACCTCCCAGCATTGTTGTGTGAAATTGTGTGTGAACCCTTCTTGCTATCAATCAATAAAGTTATCTTAATTAATACTCACTATACATGTTACAGAGAAGGACACTGATGCTTAGGAAGTTTAAGTGATACCATGCCCTCTGCCCAGAAATAAGAGCGTTACTGTGCTATGTTTATCGCAGCACTATTTACAAGAGCCAAGATATGGAAGCAACCTAAGCATCAGTAGATGAATGGATAAAGAAGAGGTGGTACATATACACAATGGAATAGTATTCAGCCATAAGGAGAAAACAAATCCTAACATTTGCAGCAACATGGATGGAGCTAGAACTTACTATGCTCAGTGAAATAAGCCAGGTGGAGAAAGACAAGTACCAAATGATTTCCCTCATTTGTGGAGTATAACAGCAAAGCAAGACTGAGAAGGGACTAGTGGTTACCAAAGGGAAGAGGGTGGGGAGGGAGGGAGAAGGGGATTAAGGGGTATTATGATCAGCACACATAATGTAGGTGGGTCATGGGGGAAGGCAGTATAGCACGGAGAAGACAAATAGTGACTCTATAGAGTCTTACTAAGCTGATGGACAGTGACTGCAGTGAGGTGTCGGGGCCGGGGGCGGGGGGACTTGATAATATGAGTGAATGTTGTAACCACAATGTTGCTCATGTGAAACCTTCGTAAGATTGTATATCAAGGAGGCCTTATTTAAAAAAAAAGAGTGTGGCTGTGGTCTTTGTTGAGAATGCCCTTGGAAAGAAGTTGTTGGAAAGAGTGAGCTACGGCAGGTAGCCTGAAACTGATGGGGCTAGACCAGAAAGGGAAAGAAAGGGGAAGAAGGGGGAGAGGAAGAAGAGATGGGGTGATGGGATTGTTTGATTTGACTAACTACCCCACCACCACCTGTTAGCAGAGGTCTATGAACCCTCTGAGTTTGGGTTCCACAGATAACAAATTCTCAAGTTGGTCTTTAGGGAAAAAAAAAAAGATTAAAAGCCATGGAGCTACGTAGAAAAGATTAAGAAAGCAGGACCAGGAGCAAGACAAACTGCTTCTTGCCCAGTGCCTCGAGGTGGCCCAGCTCTGTGCTACCTTTATACACGTCATCTCTCCACCTTCTAGCAATCTCGTGAGGCATTTTAAGGATGGAGTACCCAAGGCTCAGAGAGGCTGAGCAACTAGCTCAAAGGTGGGAAATGACAAACCCCAAATGCGAACCACGGTCTGCTCAGCTACAAAACCCACACCGGCCTGCACTCCGTGTCTGCATACCTGGGTGCTGGTTACCTCTCCTCTATCCCTGACTCACTGCATGACTCTGGCCAGCCCTGGGTCCTAGCCTGTTAACTGAGGAGGACTGATCGGTCAATGATAACAATAACAATGATGATAATACTACTGCCAATTCTTGGCACTTAAAATGTGCCAGGCATTTTGCTAAACAATTTGCATTAACTATCCACTTTATCCTTCCAACAATCCTGCAATATAGATGTCATATAATCTGAGGAAACTGTAGGTTTGGACCTACTTAGTGTCACAGGACTTGTAAGCAGCACAGCTAGGGGTCACAGCTAGGTTTGTCCAGCACCAAAGCTCAAGCTCTTTGACCTTAAGCTTCCTGGATGCCTGCTGCAAGAAGCCACCTGGGAAGACACCATCCAACGACACACTTCATTCATTCATTCAATCCAGCTTTGGTGTGGGTGGCTGTAGCGGAATGAGAAAGGAGAAGGGTAGT